GATGGCAGTGGGCTGGTGAGGGGGAAGGTTCATGTGGTGCTTTCTACAGCAAATGCCTGGTGCCCTGGCCCCTTCACAGACACTTCCTGATAACATCTTGCAGCAAACTGTGCTCGAAAAGGGCAACTCTTTCCACTGGCAGCAGGCAAAATGTGTCCACCCAAAGGTGGCCTGGTGGGAGACAGCAGAGCTCCATCAGGCCCTTGGGAGGTTCCTTATCCCAGCATGACAGTGGTGGCGCTGTGCTGTTGTCCTTTAGCCACATTCCACCTCCAGATCCCAGCACAGAGCAAAGGTATCCCTGTGTGGCTGGAGACACTGTCCTCAGATAACATGCAAAACAGCTCAGTGTGGGAGCCATGGAGATTTCTCTTTGCAACCAGAAGATCTGCCCTTCATGCACTCCAGCAGTTAGCATGGAACAGGGACTGGGAAAGAAGAGATAACTGTAGAGATTAACTCCTCGTGAAGTGTATTGGGAAGGAAAGCTGGACTAGTCAGAGGGTTTTATACTGGATCTCAGTGTTGCTGGCCAGTGTTATTCCCCTGCTTTTTCATATAAACATCTCTGAGGTTAGAGCCGGCTCAGTGGTTTCAGAGGGGAGGGAGGAAGAGCAGGCTGGAGCAGAGGGGAAATCCGCCACATCACAGCACAGCTGGATCCAGAGCAGAACGCTCTGCAAAAATCCCCCATCTCGGTAGAGCTGAGCAGGAGCAGATTCCTTGGTTACGCTATGGCAGGCATTCAAACCCACATCAGAGCTCCCCTCTGCTCTCCCCCAGCTCCTTTGGGGCCCCCACTTCTGCATCTGGCAGACAAGGGGGCTGACACAGAACCAGTCCCCGCACTGCAGCCTGCACCAGGCGGCTGCTGGACTTAGCAGCTGAGGATACACATTGTCCACAGTGCTTCTTCTGGGACCCACTCTCTTTTGGCCTTGGAGTCTCCCTTTCCTCTCCCTGTTTTTAAAATTTTTCTTTCCCTCTTTCTGGTGGGGGAGTTAGGGCAACAAGCTACTGCAGGGACCTCCAGCTTCCCACTGGGTGGGCTGGGTGTGCAAGCTGCCATTTCCTCTTCCAGACAGCACCATATCCTGCCCACATAGCTCTATTCTCCCACTGCCCTCTTTTTACCTGCAAGACCACAAACCAGCAGAAAGCAGCAGGAAGTCAGTTAAAGGGCCAGTCCTGAGACAGACAGCTTCAAAGAGCTAAAGCACAGTAATTCCTAGCTCTGCATTTTTCAACTTCAAAGGACTTTACGAGGGAGGTTGGTATCACTGTTCCCATTTTCCAGATGAAGAAACTGAGGCAAAAAACCTAAGATTTGTGGCAGAGCAAGGGCCAGAACTCAGGTCTCTTGACTCTCCAGTTCCTATATTGGGCATTAGGCCACATTGCCTGCTTGGTATCATACCATGCATGTGAGTCGCCTCAAAAAAGAGTGCGACAAAGCCTCTGCTGTAGCTTCACTAAAATAAATTAAGTCACCACTAGGTTTATACTAGCTAAGAGCCTGGCCAGGGACTCTGAGGTGGGTTAGGTGGACAGGACCTTTTTGTTGACTGAACAAGGTTTCTGAAACCTGATGTACAACTGGACTCTAATGAAATCCTGTGGTCAGACAGTGACAAAGTCAGCCTGGCCAAGGGATCTTTTTGAGCCCTAGAGCTGCTTATCTCACTGGCACCTATCCAGAGTCACTAAATGAAAGGGGTCAGCCCACCTGAGATCAGTGTAAAGCCATTGGCTATGGAGGGGTGGCCTCCCTGACCAGCCCTTGCTGAGGCTAAGGGTGGTCTTTTCATTCACTCAGAACGCCCCTTGTCACCCAGTCCTGGGGAAGGGGAGAGAACAGAGCTATAGGTCATTTCTGCCTGCTTCCCCCTCTGGAATCAGAGTAGATGATCAGTGAGGGAGCAATGAAAAGGGAACAAAAGGTATTACTAGCTCCATTCATACAAACCATTTTAAAGGGTTGGGGAATTAAATTCCCTTTTTTCCCCATCCAAAGGACTGTCACCATCGGGGACTCTGTTGTGTATGACAGACCTCACCAGTTCCATCAGTGTCTCACCAAAATGGCCCCAGGGTGTGAGTATGCAAAATCCTGGGCTTCCTGAGAATCTTCTTCTGTTTGGGTAGCTACGTAGGCTGTGGAGTGGCTTAGGAAAGACAAGCAACAGGAGGCTGGGGTGGGACCTGGAGGAGTACCAGATGTGCCAGGAGATAGCTCTGGCTTGGCACTGGGATCCAGGCAGTCTCAGGGAGCAGGTGGGAGATTGTAAGCAGATCTGTCACAGGTCATCTCTAATGAGTTACAAATCAGTCAGAGCTTTGTGACATAGGAGATGCGGCTTAGAGCAGTTGTTTAGAAAAGAAAAAGACCCAAAGTGAACTCCCAGACTGATGCTTCCTCTCCCCCTTCCCTGTGCAGCTGAGCGTGCACTCTCCCTTCAGCAACAGGCCCCAAAAATGGTGAAGTAAGTGCCATGCACTCACTTATTCTCCCCACACTCCCACAACTTTGCACCAACCCCAGGATCTGATCTTAGGTCCCCACCCAGCCCCTTGTTTCACCAAACTCGTCCCTCCAGGTTGATCTTTGTATTCCTGCCCATTCCCCCATATATTCACCTGCTTAGTGCTTACCACTAAATATTCACCCATCCTTCTCAAGCATCCCTGCTTAACACTAAACTTTCACCCATCCTTCTACCTGATCCCCAAGCTTCCCTCCATTCCAGTCTTCCTACTTATCAGATCTCTAGCGCCCATCCCTTCACCCCAAGTTCCTGTTTTTGCACATTCCCCTATCATATCCCTCCCCCCCGATCCTGATCCACAACCTGGCTCTGAAATTGTCCCCTGTAGTACTACTGATACTATAAATGTCTAGTCAATGATTTAATCTTCCTCTCTGGTCTGTACTTCCTGGCTGTCAGATCTCTGTAGCTATGTGGAAATACCAGAGAAAAGCTGTTCTTACCATATCTGCCACACAACTGAAACCAGGATGTACCAGAAATCTGACCAGAAAGAAACGTCTGTTCTCCCACAAGAGATTTCCTGAATTTGCCCCTCCCCAAAGGATCAGCTAGAAATATAGAGCCAAATCTTCCAGTGGTTGGTACACCACTGATCATCACTTGCTTTCCAGTGACTCTTCCATGGGACCTCTTGGTGCTTTTCTAACTTAAAGCATTTTCCATGAAGGATGAAAATGGTCCCAATAATAAACCTTGTGTGGCACTTCTCATCCATGCCACTCACTCTTGTTTACAGAGGGGGCAAAGGGGTCATGATCTGCATCTTAGGCAGCATGGAACAGAAGCACAGAGAGTGGCTTGACAGAGATCACTGAGCAGGTTCGTGGTGGAGCCAGTTCTGGAACCCAGCTCTTTGGACTTGGTGGCCAGTGTCTGCTCTGCTGGAGCATACTGCCTTAACCTACAGAAAGAAGAGACCATGGGGGTAATCCTCTCAAAGTGCAAAAAAAGATTTAATATGATTGAAATATATATATATATATACACACACAAACACATACACGCACACATACACACGCAAATTCTTGGTTTTGATATTGTAAAGCACCATTAATTCTACAGTACAATATGTCTCTATTAGGCCTTCCAGTGGGCACCAGTGAGTCTCCTGAAGCTTCAATTAGCACCAAGGGACCACCATTTTATTTAGCACCAGTGGGTCTGAAGCTGGCCTATTAAGCATGCACTGACTCCCCCATGCACTTTAGGCCCTGATCAGCTCCCCCTTGAAGGCACTGGTCTGCAGGAAACAAATGGTGAAACTGGAAAGCAAAGGGAATTCAGAGCTCAGGTCTGGAAGTTATTCAGCATTAGAGATTCCTGCCGTTCCCTGAGGAGACACAGGGACGCACGTACTGTAAATATGCAACATCTGGGATTGCAGTCTGTGGCTTCTAGAAAGAGGGAGGGATTCAGTCCTAGTTCATTCACGCCTAAATGTCACCCCCCTCTCCCCTCAAACACACTGCTCCTTTGCTACTTGCCCAAGCCCTGCCCTGGAGTGATTCAGTACTCCACATCTGCTAAGGGAGAGAGAAGAACTCCAGTTTTCATGTTCCTTCACATCCTGGGATTGTCTCACCACACCAATTCCCTAGTAGCACCAAACCTTGCCCTGGAGGCACTCTTAATACCAACTGTCTTGATGCAGTATGTGAGCAGGTGTGGAGCATGGAATTCATTTGCATCTCCCCAGCTCCTCCTCCTCAGCAAAGCAGGGATAATAACACTGGCAGGAGAGAAATTGGCCCACAATTCTCTTGAGTGTGTTTTTAACATCTATTCCATGTCTCTTGTTGTTTCCCTGGTGAGTCCAGTCCTCTGCCAGCCCTGTAAGCTTCTCTCTGCTCTTTATGGCATCCTCAGAACATGCAGGGCTGGGTTTCCAGGAGCTCTCAGAGTTGACCTCATTCTCCTCCCTGATGCCATCTTCACTGATGACAGTGGGAGAAGAGTCAGGCCAATGCCAAGAACACTGGAAAATGCTGCCTGCGTCAAACAAGCCGGGGCAGCCCAAACTTCAGCACACAGTCCTGCTTCTAGCTTCAGCCTTGACAATGGGAAGGTGTTCCAGTTTCTGTGGTTCACTCCAACTAAGTGCTGATAGCAGGGGGACAGCCAAAGGCAGAGAATGGGACTGAAACCCCCGACACGTTTCATGCAGGCTATCAAACAGCTCTGGTCTATTTAGTCCCTGGGATCTCAATATGTGCTTTAGTAGTTTAAGAACCCATGATGAACTTCCCCCCACACAAGCCAGTCCCCCTTCTCCAGATTGTGCTAGTAAATGGGTTGGAGGGAAGGGTGGGGTTTGAAAGGAAGGACCGTCTCCTGGCAGAGCCATGGGAGCCACCTCTGCCAGATTGACACAGTGAGAGCCCAGAGCTGATTCCCTGGCTCTGAACCTCCTCTGTCACCAGCATGTGAGAAGTATC